TTAGCAAGTGGTATGAACCAGGCCATCCCCTAAGTGGGCTTCTTTGACGAGCGCCCCATGCCGTGTGAACATAGCTGGGCACTGCACGTGTAATGGGATGTGGGAAAGACCTTGGGAGACCCTGGGGCCAAAAGACGCTGCGTAGGGAGCGGTCAGATAAGAGAGGGCGTAGCCCGCAGCTGGATAGTGGGCAGGGCGAGGAGGGACCCTCCCTAGTTTCTCGGGCTGTAAAGGAGATGGCGGGAGATTTGTACTTCCAGACTTGCAAGATTCTGTCAGTGTAGCTTTCCAATAAAGTAGAATTAGCTCATCTGGTCGTGTTTCCTGTCTTGGGCCTACCCCCACCAAGGAGAGCGTCCCAGGGACTCTGCGGCTCAGCCAGAAGCAGAACAGAGCTCCCCCGTCCCTCCTTCCTGCTGTGCATCGCTGGGCTAGAGGTTGTGTCACAGAGGCCAGGGAGGAACCACTGCGGCAGGATGCTTTGCCTGGGCAGCCCTTGCCTGTCCATCAGGCCCACCCAGCCCCTTGGGGTGGACAGAGGAGGCTGCAGAACTGCAGCACAGCCCTGCTCTCGGCCAAAGCTCTCGGCACGGCTGCGGCTTGTCAGCAGCCACAATCTCTCCTCCTTCACTAAGGAAAGCCAGTCTGGCCTTGGGGTCCCAGCCTGGAGAGCAAACGGGTGCTCGCTGGGCACTGCAACCCTTGGGGCAAAGAGATTCTACAGCCCCAGACACCAAGGCTCTCGAAGTGCCGGCCTTCCTGCAGACCTACAGCAGCCTCTCTGAGGAGCAGTTGGGCAGCTCGTGCCAGAAGAAGGGCGGCCTTGGAGGGCCAGGTGTGAGTGGCAAGGCACCAGGTGCTCACTTGGCAGCTGGTTCTTACGACTGTGGGAGGACCTGGGAAGCTCTTCCCTCCCCAGCACCGTCTCCGCAGGGAGGCCCATCCCAGAGGGGCAGCCAAAAGGCTTTGTTATTATTTTAATATCCACCCAGTCTTAATTATCTGCAAACAGCAAGGAAGGAAAACAGAATCGTAACTCTACATTTACATGAACCGCTGCCAGTTATGCAAAATTAGGCAAGGGGTTGGTAGAAGGACTGGGACCTGCGCGCACTCACGTTGTCTCTGTGCCACAGCAGCTCCCACAAACTTGTAAAGGAATGTGCAGCTTGAAAGCAGAAAGCGAGTGAGCACACATTTGTCTTACATGATTTGAATTATTTAGTCAATTACTCTAGGGTAGGATCACACACACCTCCCAGGGAAGGAGAGGCTATGCCAGCCAACCTTCCCTATTTCCTTCTGGGGGGCACGGTGGGGAGGAAAGGAAGAGAAATGCTTTCAAGGAGCTCATCAGCATCTTGCGCTCTTCTTGGCAGGCCCCAGAATGTGCTCAGCTGCAGGATCACATCAGGTGACCCAGCCGTGGCGCTTCTCATCAGATGCCTCCAGGCACCAGGCTGAAATTAGATCACCTGCCTACCGAGGTGGCTTCAAATTGCTTAGCTGGCGCAGTGCTGCTCATCTCATTTGCACAACGGAGCTGCTCAAATGCAATCAAGGCTCCTTAATAAGGAGGTGGGGGGGCCTTCCACAGCCCTTTCGCCAACCCTGCATTCTGGAAGGGTCGGCTGGAAGCAGCCCTGCAGAGGGCACCGTGCCCAGCCAAGACTGTGCCTCTTTTGGGTGGCTGGCCGGCTGGCCCATCAGGCTGCGCGGCAGGACCTCGGCCCCGGCCAGCCGCCTGCCAGGCCAATCCCTGGCCCTTCCCGCTCCAGACCAAGCTTGTGCCCTTCCTGCTTCGGCCATCCAGCAGGAAGGTCCTCTCCCCCCGAGAAGCCGGACCACATCAGGCCTGGGGGAAGATGCAAGAGCGAAGGGAGAGCAGCAATCCTTGCCCCTCTCCCCAGGCTGGTCCAGGGGCAGCTCCTTCCTCCTCCCCACGTGCCCAGTCTGAGCCACGGACGGCTTCCGCTCTAAGCGGGAGGTCCCTCTGGAACCAAAGGATGGGTGGGAGGAGCAGCAGCCCAAAGTGATAAGTGCCACCCCACCCTCCCTGCCACGTTGGTCAGCCACAAGGGAGCCGGCAAGCAGTTGCAAGGGTCCCGAGGCAAACCCCGCAAGGAGCCTGGAGCCAGGTTGGTTTATTCACCCTGGCCCCTTGAAGCTCCCAGGGCAGCGTCTGTGGACTCTTCCCTCTGACCCGGAAGAGCCGAGCCGAGCCGAGCCACCAGACCTGGAAGGCCAGCCGAGCTCAGGCAGCCGTTCCTCGACCCGAGTAGCTCTTGCTTCCCCACCGGAAAGCTTCCGTCTCCCCAGGGCAGGGACCCATTTCAAGGCTCTGAAGCGCCAGGGGAGTGTCTACACTTGAGTAGCTTCCTCTGCCAATTTGTGGCCTTCCCAATCTTAAGTTCATCAAGCACCAAGCCTGAAGATACCCGCTCCTGGACACAGCAGCCTACTCCCAAGGAGACTGCTGTTCTCCTTGCACCCTCACTCAGGCTTCTGGGTTTCATCTCTTCCTTGGGACAGGAAGGCACCAGCCATGCATGCTCCTTGATCAACCAGATCACTTCGTTGCTCAATGGGGACCAGTGGTAGCACGGGGGGGATGTTTCTGGAGGGTCTGGAATGCCCTTGGTGGGGAAACGAGATAAACTCTCCTGGGCTTGCGGAGGGTGTAGATCCAACACTGTTGCTGTTATCCCAGCCCTTCTTGAGACAATCCAGGAAGGACAATGATTGTGAGAGGCTACAGGCAGAGACCTAACGTTGTCTTCACCCATCTCAGGAACCCGCCATAGCATCAAGCTGGAACAAGCCTGACCCGCGGGTTCCATTCGTTCTTTATTCATTCAAAAAATCCTGGGGTTGGAAGGGGTCTGGGGGGCCTTCTCATCTAATGCCCCCACCCGGGGCAGGGAGCCTCAGACCACCCCGGACAAATGGCCCTCCAGTCTCTGCTTGGGAACCTCCTAGGATGGAGCCCCTAGGACCCCAATTCCTCCTGCTGCCCCTGGTTCTTGCCCTGCCATCAGCAGCTCTGGAGAACGGCTCCCCACCCCTGCCCTGGGGCAGCCCTTCAAGCCCTGGCAGACTGCTCTCACGTCTCCCCCAGCCTTCTGTGTTACAAACCCAGTTCCATTAACTACCATTTTGGGTTAGGATTTAGCCTCCATCTTGAACATCCAAAGTCACCCTAATCCTAACTATCACCTCGCACAAACTGACGTGCCAAGTTGGCTGTGCTAGGCCATGTCTGCTTGGAGGATTTTGTAACCAGCCAGGCTGGTGCATCACACGAGGAAAAGGCACTTGCCATGGGCTAGTGATCTGCTTGCCAGGAAAGGGAGGAGTGGCCTGACCTCCTCTCCCGGCTGGAAGTCTCGCAGCGTGGCTTGCCGATTCCAACGTAATTTTTGGCACACCAGAGACGGCCACGGGTTCTCCAGAGTCAGATCCCTCATCCGGTCCAGAGCTTCTCACATTTGCAGGATTTCACAGAGAGTTTTGGCAAAATTTTCCAAACCATCCAAAGGGGGCCCCCGACCTGCTGGCCACATGGCAGGTTAAGGGGGGAGCATCGTTACAGAGGCCTGAGGTCCTCCTCATCAGCACAGGTAACAATGGGAGCCATCTATCCCAGTCCGAAACAGATTTTCCCAGGATCCTTTTAAGATCAGCATTGTTCCCCTCGGGTGGGGGGCACATTCCTTCCTTGTTGAGGAGGTCCGTCCCTGGGCAAGGGAGGCTTCTTCAGCGCCCCCAGGACCAAGGCAACCCTTTCAAGGGCCGAGGCCTCCGCGGAGCCTGTTGCAAACTGCCAGAATCAATCTCTGCCCGCTCACGTCCTCCTAAGGGGCCCACTTTGTGCATGGCTATTCAGCAGAAAGGGGCACCCCCACAGGCAACGGGACCAGGGGGACCATTTTCAGAGCTCCACACAACAGGCACAGATTCCCGGTTCTCCCTTACTGGAAAGAGCAGGAAATTAAAGGTGGGCTCAGGCCCCAAACTCCCTGCCGGCTGCCCCATGAGGTAGACTGGACCAGGAAATCAATGGGAAGACCAGAATTACGCTTGACTGAGATTGGCTTTAATCAAAGAAACTTGCAAGTCCGATTGCGCTGGCCTCCCGCCCCCCCCCCCCCTACCCATGAGAGTAAAGGAGGCGTCTGCCTGAGGTGCTTCTGCACGTGTTCTGCTTGCTTGGGACGTGAGGCATGTTTCACCCCTTGTCACCTCGGGAACAGTTCTCCAACATCCGCACCCAACATCAAGGACGCCTCCTTTACCCTCTATACCACCAAGGCTGCAGCTCCTTGGTAGTATAGAGGGAAAGGCAGAGATAAGGAGCAACTTCAGCAGCAGAGCACTAAGGAACACAGGCTTGGGGATCCCACCATCTGTGCCAGCTGTACCTCTGGCAGCCCCCAGATCCTAGTCCTGAGAAGGCGGCGGCGGCAGTGGCGGTACACATAGGCCCATCCTGCTAAGCACTGGCTGCAGGTCAGGGAATGCCATGGCTCCTTCGATGCTGATGGCTCAGGGGCAGCCGTGGAGACGTGCCAGCGCCTCTTGCACGACCAGCACAATGCCCTTACGCTGGTCCGGGAGCCAGAACACGGGGGAGTGGAGGTCCAGGGCAGGCATGCCAGAAGACCCCTCCCCACCCAACAAGCGCTCAGGAAGAGCAGCAGAGAGCTGTAGCAGCAGCAGCAGCAGCAGCAGCAGCAGCAGCAGCAGCAGCAGCAGCTCCCAAGAGGACCCAGCCTTGCCAGGCAACCGGTTCAGCTACTAAGGACGGGCACCAGAACAAGCGGGCCAGCGAGGGAGACTGAAGGGAGCATTTCAGTGAAGAGGGAAGGAAGAGGACAGCCAGTTCTGCCAGGGGGCTGCTAAGGCCCCTCCTCTCCTCTCCTCCCCTTCCCTCGCACAGAAGGAGGTCATCCAAGACCACCGCCTGCCACACGCACAGGCGAAGAGGCAATTAGCATCCCAAACACATTTCCAAAGTCCTGCCAAGAGCAGGCGGGAGACGCCCCTCGAAAAGGCTCGTGCCGAAGAAGACGGTGAAACCGCAAAGGGCCGAACTGGCCGAGGGAGGCCAAGGCTGTGCTCCCATTGACCCCAACATCTCAAGTCTCAGCGAGGCCAAGAAGGCGACCGCTTTCTCCCCCTCCAGCGGCTGAGCCATCGGCTACCCCCTTTCACAAAGGGCACCAAGGGGGGCTATTGGCATGAGAACGCCTGGCTCTTCCCAAGCAAGGGGGGGAAGGAGTTGCTTCCCCCGGACAACCAATGCTCTGGGTCCTTCCTGGGATGGACAGAAGCAGCAGGGAGGAGGAGACCCAGACATTCCCAGACTCCACACGGATCCGCGCACCGATCGGCCAGGCCCAAGTCAGCTTTTGCCCCCAAGAGTCCTGCTTACCCCAGAGATGTCGGCCACTCGGTGGATTGGGACTTCCTTCTTGCTGTGCAGGCCTTTGCCGTTCTTTATCGCACTGTTGGGGGAAAAGGAAGGGTCAGGAGCACCCAGGAGCCCCCGCAGTGCCTGCCCAGAGGGAGAGGAGAAGGCCAGGGCCTCTGGCTGCTCTCCAGCCCCAGAGCTCCCCATTAAGTGAGCCAGCACCCCCTCCTTCCAAGGGACGGTCATGGTGGGTGGCCTCTTGGGAACCCACAGATCTTCTGGTCCCCTGCAGCTGTGGCCCTAGGGGGCCAAACCCTTAGGGGTCCATCTTCTGGGGTCACAAGAGGGCTCTCGTTGCATGCTGGGGAGAAAGCATCAGCTGGGATGCATCCAAGTGCTCAAGAGGCACCGACTTCCATGGAGGGCCAGACAGAAGGCCCCTCCTGGCAGGAAGCTCTGGAGGGGGGCAGGGGCAGCAACCCCCAGGAGCCCAAAGCCCCACATTAAGGAGCCTGATTTGGAGTGGGGGGGGCGGGGCAGACACCCATAATGTGGGAAAGACCTTGGAAGAACGGGCCCAAAGGCGCTGCCTAGGGAACTGTTAGATAACAGGGAACACAGCCCACAGCTGGCAGCTGGCTAGTGGGTGGGGCAAGAAGCTTAGAAGGACCCTCCCTAATTTCTTAGGCTGTAAAGGAGATGGGGTGGGGGGAGATTTGTACTTTCAGACTTGCAAGATTCTGTCAATGTACTTTTACAATAAAGTAGAATTAGCTCATCCGGTCATGTTTCCTGTCTGGTCTGCCCTCGTAAGGCTGACAACGCCTCACCCACGGAGTCAGAGAAGAGCCAACATGTTTCCAGGAGTCGGGGTTCTGTGCTGTATCGCAGCCCACCAACCCTCCCTGGCAGGGCACTGCCACCTCCTCTGGGAGCAGCAGAGACCCTGAAGCCCCCTGGAAAGGCAGGGGATACACGCCACCTTGCTTCCAAGGAATGCAGGATTGCTCCCCAGTGAGGGAAAGGAGTTCTACGGAGGCCACCTACTTGGACGGAAAGCGACAGCCCCCGTGTTCCCAGCCCCAGGTCCCTGCCCAAGGCTCAGGTGTGCCACAGGCCTCTTCATCTCTGAGTACCTTCTGTGAAGCAGGGAGGCTGCCCCTTTCAGGCAGCCTTTATATGGGCAGATCGCCAGCCTGCTTTCACACACACACACCCTTTCCGCAGGCTTTGGACGAAGCTCTTCTTTCCTCCTGCCCCCTCCGAGCCTGACTTTTAATGCACTCTTGCTGGGCTGCTGAAAGGCCCACAAGCGCTGTTTCTTCTGCCAGCCCAAGCCGAGGTAGCTCAAGGACTCTGGGGCCCTGAGAGCTAGACAGTTGCAGAAAGGAAGCGGGAGAGCCCTGGGCAGGCTTTCCAGGACAAACAGAAAAGGCTTCACCGGGCCATGGTGAAACTGGACCCAAACTGGAATGGGGGGCTGGGGGACACAGCTCTCTCTTGGAGCCTGGCACCAGCTGACCACAAGCAGCCTGCATGCTCCGGACAGCTCCCCCGTTTCTGCCCCAAGAGAGAAACGTTCCCCATTGTAGCTCTACACGCCAGGAAGAATCTTACGCTAGTGCAAAAGGGGTGATGGCTAGAGGGTTTCATAAACGAAGGGTTTCGTTTCTTTCTCTTCTGGCTTATTTCTTCCCCAAGATCTGACAACAACCAGCAGCATCCAAAATCAAACATTTGAAGGCGCCTGGAGGCTGCTGGGGGGCCCTTTACCCCATCTTTCCCCTAACCCCCTCCAACTGGACCAGCCTTTCCACCTCCCCTCCATGCTGGTCCCAAGCAATCGAGCAAGGCTTGGAAGGGCCTCAGTGGGGAGCTGAGAATCTGAACACAAAGCAAGAGGTTTCCCCTCCTTGCCCTACAACTCTGCCCCCACCCCTCCCAATGCAAGTCTGGCCCTGCGGCAGAAGCCCACCCACCGCAGCCCTCTCCCACAGCTCACCGGGCCTCGGCAGCCAGCAGCTCATCGTAGTGGGAGGAGCGCTGGTCATCGTCCTGGCGGTATCGAATGACGGTGGCCAGCCCCTTGCTGACCAGTGCTTCTGCAATGTTGCTGCAAGGGACCGAGAACAGCAGTTAGCCACAAAGGGCCGGGTAGGGGGTCTCCTTTGTGGGCCGGGCAGGTGATGCCCTCCTTCCCGCCCCACTGAGAGCTCCAATGCAAGGCCTCTGCCCACGAGTCCGAGCCGAGGCCTGATGCCCTGCCCCTTCATCCAGCAGAGGGCAGGACTCCAAGCGGCTTCAAAGCACCAACTTCTCCCTCGCCTGGGCTGTGGGAATGGACAAGGGACAGAGTGCCAGTGTGCCTAAGACGAGGGTGCCCCGGCTGGCCTTCCAGGGCGGCACAGCCAATAAGAATCAGGATTAGCTGCTCTGTAAAGGGGCTCAGCCCCACCTCCAAACCCTTCCAATCTTTTTTCAGGCAAACCTTCCTTGGGGTCTTTGAAACCAACCCCAAAGCCAGCACTCAAGGAAGACACGTTGTGGCTTTCTCAGCCACCCACAGCTGAAGCAGGCTGGGGCCGGCTTCTAGCCATGGCCCCAAAGGACTTCCCCTGCTCAGGCCTGCAGCTGGCCTGCCACTGCCTGGGCAGCTTCCGGATGTCAAGAGGGCCTCCTGGCTGGGCACTGCTCCCGCTTCAGCAACACGAAAGGCAGGAGGCGCAAGCAGGGCTGCTCCACAGAGCTCAAAGTAGGCTGGGCCAAGACGGGGGGGGGGGGCAAGCACGGGAAAAGGGGAAGGGGGGGAAGGGACAAAAGA